GTTCTTATGAAACCGAAGTTGCACATGCTTGATATGTTTTTATTTTTAGTTTTCTTCTCAAAGGTATAAAACTGAATGTTAGTGATTACGATGGAAGAACGCCACTTCACCTGGCATCTTCTGAGGGCCACGCAGATGCGGTAGAGTTTTTGCTCAGATACTGCGGAGCAGATCCAAATGCAACAGACAGGTATCATTTAATCAGACAGGTTAAATGGGCTGTAACTTTTCACTTATCTCTGGTGATTGAGTAGTGAAGCATAAAGCGAATGCGATTGGCAAGCCATCTCGTTAATACCACGTGCATCACGGCAAATTCTCCCTAGCGTTTTCTACTTTAAGAATATAACACTATTTTGAGATTGTAGTGCTTAACATCTGCAGCTGATCTTGCACAAACAGGATCCGATTTCGACTTGCATTCTACAATTATAGTACTGATTTTCGATAGCTCATGCATATGGTAAGGGATCCGGTTCAAAGTTCTAATGATTCATTGAATGACTTAGCGTATTCCACTTAAGCACAAGCTTTGACGTTTCTATTTCTTTCACTGTAAACATGCCAGGGTAATCAAGCTTTGATATTCAACCTTACGAATTTAGTTTCATGCAATCTATTTCTTGAAAACTGAGGTGGTCCTTCAAACACCGGAAAAGCGATAAAGAACGAAACTTAAGCTTCTTAATGCATGATTTTTGCCGATTCACGATGAACATTGAAGGAAGAAAGGTATTTTATTTGTCAGCGACATTTCTTTAATGACAACCAATAGCATCCTCAGAATAGAATATAGCTGCATGGATGAAAACAAAACGCTTAATTAGAAACGATAGGCAGAACCTTATTTTAAAAATGTTCGAGTTGTGGTCATGTTATTTGACTCAAACTGTCATTTTAGAAGTTCTTAACTGCTTTCAGTGGCCACTCGGCTAGCAGATAGCTTAGCGATTGCGTTGCAAATTTTATTTATGTTAAAGGAAGCAGAACATCTGTTCCGTACGCGCAGGTATATGAACGGAAATTTTAATTAACAGCTCTACTGTTATATCTATCAAGTATCGCAACACAAGCGTCATTAAACCAATGTCGCTCTGAACCTATGCAAGCTGACGCCCAAACGCTGTAAGTTCATGACATGCAGCTTCCAAGGCTCCCAATATGCCAATGTTCAGACACGGATTTTTTTTTGTATAAACCTTTAATATGGTATAGCACAAGAGCATCTTATGACTTTCAGGGTTGCATCGCTTATGTTATTTTACCAAGAGTGACTCCCAATTTGAAGCTCAGTAGTTTTAAACACGAAACTGACAACGACATTGATAACTTGGTTCGCACTGAAATTAAAGAATGATTAATACATGTTTATCTCTTTCGAACTGCGCAAGCTTCTTGTGAATCTCTGATAAAATAACACGAACTGTTATGGATGCTTGTGCAGATTAACGTTCTTTCAGTATGGAGCAGAGTTCATATAAACTTCATAATTCGAACGCGAAACATCGTAATTTCTGTCAGTGCACTTCGACATTACATAATTTTGAACACAGGTATGCTCGGATTGCATTACCTTCACTACAAACGGCAAACAGGATTTAATGACAAATAAACCTCTAAATCTCTAAACTGTAAAACGTTGCTGTACCAACAGCATTCATTTCATTGACACGCAATTTATTTCAAGCTGCTTGTAGATGGGGTCGAACTCCACTGGAAGACGCAAAAGAGTTTTCACATGTTCAATGTGCTAACCTCATCGAAACGTGGAAAGCAAAGCGTCCGCCGCGGTTACCCGGAACCACAGACGACGGTCTGAGTAACTGCGCACCGGTGACAGAAACTGCAACCGTCGAAGCGTCACATTAGCAGCGATATTTCTGCGCCGTTATTTCCGCTGAACAAATGGCTAAGCAGCTTAAATGCGAATGGGAACATTAAACTTAAATTTTCTATTGTCCGCTAATAAAATACGACACCGCCGTCATTATGTTATGTTATGTTATTCAGACATGTTCGTAATTCTTGTGGAAATCAAATTGCAACATAGTGCCGATTTGTATTCATTTCTGCTCTGTTCAACTTCAAGCGATTACGTCGTGGCCATAAATAAACAAGATTCTAAAACCAATCACAGAATGCTTTATCCCTATTTAAAAGATTAAACTAGTTGAAACACGGTATGTCACAATTACATGCACCACACTGGGAAGTTATAAAATGACAATCATTTGTCATAGATTTACTTAATGGATTATTTAAATTGTCACTCTCACTGGTAGAAATATCAATGGCTGTCATTTATCCATGCAGAAATGACAATTTAAGCCGACTTTAATTACTGTGCGGCAGTATAACAATTTTCGCCGAATCACATTTGATTTCTTTTCGGTCATGCGTTCCTGTACACATTTTGGACATATATACGCATAAAGCCAATTCGTTACTATTTAAGCCGGATGTGCCAGTAAAAAGCTGCTGAATACAGATTTAGTTTTCAAAACGGAACTGGAAAACGACTTATAAAGTTATTCTATGGTATAGAACACAACGCCGTAAACAAAATACATTTTTAGTATGCCTGTAGAGACCAAAGCCAAATTTTCCGTATAAATTCGTTTAACTTTCGAGCAAATCGCAAACATTTCTG